TTGTTTACCAAGAAACAAGTCGTAGTAGGTGATGATTCTGGCTAGGAAGTCAGTAGGGATAAGGTTTTGCATTATTTTTCCCATGCAGAATCTTTAGTGAGGTGTTCAAGATCAAGGTTTTGGGCAGCAGTTTTTTGATAAGCAGTTAGATATTTGTAAAAGAAGAGATTGTGGTGGCCAGTTGATGTTGAAAGAGAGTTGGTTTTGCAGTATTTTTCTTCTGCTTAATTAGTGAGTTTGTCAAGGAGAATAGTAGGTATTGGTTTAGAAAAAGTAGCTTCATGATTTTTATCAATATGAAAAATTGAGTCATCAATTTGAAGTTCATCAAGAGTTAGAGTTTCTTTAGGATACTCTTGGAAAGAGGCATTTAGGATGTTTTTAAATAGTGTATTCATATCATGTTTGTGATCAGTTACATAGGAGCAGTTTTCATACTTGCATATGAGGATATGGAAGTTGATTGTGCGGTAGTATTCATCTTGCCGATCTTGGAAGGTATAAGGTTTGCAGAAATATATAGAGGTAGAGAAAGTATAAAGGGTAAAGAAAAAAAAGCAACCAGTAGTGTACATGTTGGTAGTATTGATAGTGATATAGTATTAGAATTACAATTACCTACATTTAATCCAATACAAAATTTATAACCACTTTACAAAGAATATCCAATAATTCCCCATGAATATCAACTAGGAATTGTTACTCCACTTGCACTTTTCCAATTGTTTTTTACTGATGATTAATTACAGAAAATAGTTAAAAATACCAATATATACGAAATGGTAAAAGGCAGAGAGGGTGGTTGTGACTGGAAGCCATTAACTCTAAATGAACTAAAAATTTAGTTTGGTTTAATTATTTACATGGGTGTTTATCAAATTGGTATAGTGAAAGATTTATAGAATTGAGATGAAAAAAAAGCGATATATAAGATTAGAAGATTTATGAATAAGGTTAGGTTTCAACAAATAAAATAATTTTTTCATATTTCATCCCCAGGTGAATTGTATCCTTTTTGGTATTCTAAAGTAGAACCATTGGCATTGCATATTCAGGAGGCAGTTAGGAAGTATTATATTCCTGGTTCAAACATTTCTGTTGATAAGATGATTGTGTATTTTTCTGGACAAAGTGCTTACATGGTGAGGATAAAAAATAAACCAACCCCAGAAGGTTACAAAATTATTTCACTTTGCGATCATGGATATACTTGGGCATTTTTGTTTATATTACGTGTTGAAAAAAATACAACAGTAGAATGTATTCTAGGCCTTAATAATACTAGGTATATGGTTGTGTATTTGGTTTGTAAGCTTCCTCGCAATAAAACATACCATATCTATATGGACAATTACTTCTCTAGCATACTGCTCTTTAAATATTTACGTGAGAATGATATTGGTGCCTGTGGTATAGTTCATACAAATTCAGCTAGATTTCCTAAAGAATTAAAATTTAATAAAACTTTAGATTGAAACATGCTTTTAGATAAAGTAGTAGATAATGTTTTAGCTATTCTTTGGATTAATAATGGTCTGATAACCATGCTGTCTACAATTCTGGTAATGATTCAAAAGTTATTTGTAATTGGTGATGGCCATGTGAAACAAGTTCTAATGCAAGTACTGTATATCATGTTTTTGGAGATACATATTATAAAGAATTAGAAATTCCACAGATAATTAATGACTATAACCACTATATGGGTAGTGTGATATTACAGATCAACTTCATAGATATTATAATTAATTGTCAACTAACTGTTAGACATACATGGCTTTCTTTATTTTTTTGGCTTTTGGACACTATACTTGTAAATTGTATACTTATTTATCATAAAGTCACCAACTCAAATATCTTAAGTAAAGATTTTAGACTTAATTTGGCATGAGACCTGGTTAAAGCTACCTTAAGTTATAAAAAAAAATAAATTATCTTATGAGAAAATATTATCTCAAGCTTCTTTAAAGGGAAAGCGAGCAGCTTATATGATCAAGAATTTTGAATTACCCTTAACCCGGTTATTAGATGATGATCATTTAGTAGAATAGAAGAAAAAAAGAGAAGCTTGTATCTATTGTCATTATTTAGCACAACGTGAAGAAAAAGCAGTTAATCCTCCGCAAAGCAATTTATGGTGTATAAATGTTACGTGCTATTATATTTCTCTAAAACAAGACTGAATTGTTTTAAAGACTTTTATTTTAAAAATTAAAAAGCATAGGGTCTGCAATTTTTTTTTGTTTATTACATAAACTTTTTTTTTATTACATAGTGATTTTCTTGATTACATAATTTTATATCATGAATTACTTTTAACTTTAGTATTTGCTTTTCGAATCGTAATTCTCAACACTTTTCACACCTCAAGTGTTATTTCGAATTTATTTTACTTACCATTATATAGTATGTATTAAAGACAAAATAGAAATAAATAAGGTAGAATAAATAAATGAATAAGACAAAAAAAAAATAAATAAATAAAAAATAAATAAGGCAAAAAAAATAAATAAATAAAATAAATAAATAGGGTAAAAAAAGAGGCAGACAAATTAATAAAATTCTGAATTTTTATACTGTTTGAATAATAAACCAATAAATACAATGAATTCCAAGGTTTAATAACATTATTAGGTTCTTATTTTAGTTTTAGTACTGGTTCAACTATATCTGATATCAACATGTTGAATTTAAAATGTACGTATGTACATATATATATTTATAATAAACGAACACTTGTTTTGCAAGCTATTACGTGTGCTGTGACTTGTGCAAAACATGAACTATAATATAAATAATGATTTTTGAGCAAGTATACAAGGTTTGGGCAATGTTGTGCAATAGTACAAATAATAAAATTTTTCTAGACAAATTTGCCTGGAAATGATCTACAGATTAAGGGATAAATATTATAAAAATATATTAGATATATTATAAAATTATTGTAAAAATATTTTTATATTTTTGTTAACTTAATAATATCTAAGTTGTTAAAATATTTCTAAAATATGTTAAAATTATAATACAAAAAAAAATCAATGTAATTAAAAT